TATTTTTTTCCACTTCTTTTTCTCACATCTTTATTTTATCTGATGCTCTTAACAGTTCTTTGAGATAAAAAAAGTATTATTATCCCCACTTTTCCCATGATAAAATTGAGGCTTAGATAGGTGACAAGTCCTGCCCAGGGCCCTACAGCTAGGAAGTGGCAGGGGCAAGAGTGAGAGCTCAAGTCTTCTGGCCTAATCCTTGAGCATGTCCCTGGAACTAAATATCAAAGGCATAGCATAAACACCATGTCACAAGTTCAAATAGAGGGCCTGGCACGTGTGCCAGCAAATATTAGAGGGGCATCTACTACTCAGCTCCAGCCTTGTTTTGTAAGATTTTCTGATTTTTCCAGAAATCATTCTTTTGAAGTGAAATATCTCCATTTTTAAAATATTGACAATCAATTTAAAGTTAAAACACATACAGATACTATTGAGTTGACCCCGCGTGGGGCCCGTCTCAAACACATCTGCAGTCTGGATTCAGCCTTCAGGCTCTGACAGAAAATGGTAAATGTTCACAAGAATAGAAAAACTGTATTCCCCACCCTGCACTTCTTGCTGTATTAGAAAGACGTTGCTACCTGGTCATATTACTTTGAAATTCTTTTGCTGTCAGAATTTTTCTCTTGCGTTTTGTTAAATCCATGGGTTTTTTTCTTAATGAGCTGAGGGGCCCAGCATTTATTAAGCATTTGTATGTTCAGGGTGCATTACTGATAGATGCCTCTGTCTGACCTCCCAACAACCCTGTGAGCTAGGTATTGCTGCTCCCGCTTTAACAGATGAGGAGACAGACAAGGAAGGAGCTGGAGTAATATCTTGATAGTTTTGGTGAGATCAGAGGTTAGGTGGAAGCCTATGTGTTTTTTTTATTGTTGTTATTGTTGTTATTATTATTTTTATTATTATTATTATTATTTTGGCCTGTTCTTTTATTATAGCCACAAGGGGTGTGTCTGCGCATGAACCTTGGCTTCACTCCAGTAATTCAGTTACTGGCCAGGCCATAACTTTGATGTGGATCCTGGGGCTTCCTGCTACCTTCCTCCTAGAGGGTGTGCTCTGTGGCACTTTCCATCTCCACCCTCCTCTCCCTGCTTCAGGCCCTTCTAGACAAAGATTAAAATGTCCATATTTCTCAAATGGGTCGGTCATCTTGTTCCTAGGAATTCCTAGGAACCTGAGAATTCGGATGAACAACAGCACTAAAACCAATGCAAATTATTTGAATAGCTAAGTACTACATATATTTATTCAAATCTGTTAGCTACATGTAAAAATGAAAGCAAGGCTATAGAAGCGATAGCCAGCCAGAGTTTTATCAAACTACTAGGGGTCTGCTCGGGCCTTGGTGCTTCTGGGCAAGATAGAGCACTGGTGGCTCAGAATTTCCAGATGCTAACCTCAGGCCTTGCCTAGTAGCAGGAGCAAGAACATTCTTGCTTAACTTGCAGATATGGAAGGGAAGGCCCGTCCTTCAGGGCATTAGACAAACAGATGCCTTCTGCACAAGAAAGGAGTATTGCACAAACATGAGGCAATCAGCAAGCCCACAAATACAGGTCACAGAGTGTTAAGGTCACCCTTGATTAAGACTCACATTGTGGACTGTTTAGCGATGCCCTGAGTGTTTGTGAATCAAATCAATTGGAATTGCATCCTTTCCTTGGTACAGTGGCAAGTGTGGCTTCTGGGGTGAAAAGGCTTACAAGCTGGTTTAACTCGGAGTAAGTTTGTCTTACCTCAGTTGCCTCATCTATAAAGCAAGAATGAAATAGTATATCTTTTGGGACTATAGCAAGGCTGCATGGACTAATTCGTGTGAAAGCGCCGTATGCTGTCTAAGATTCCATACAAACAGCAGGTATTGTTTGCCTTGGAAGCTCTTCTTAGAGTGAGAATAAAGCAAGCTTTTCATCCACCTAGTAGCACAAACAGCCAGACATCCTTGCCATTGAGGGAAAACCAAAGAAAACCCTCCGAAGGTGCAGAGATGTTCAGAGATATTTGTTTCACAGCCTCTGTCCGGTTCTGCCCCCGCCCAGCTGTTGAGATGCAAAGCAACTGCAAGTTGGGCAGCTGTAAGTTGAGAGGAAATCCTTGGCTAGACCAGACCTCCAGCCCCTGTAAACACCTCCCACTACTCAGTCAAACAGTAGTGACTCTCTTTGCATAGACATGAGGCAACTCAGCAGACTGAGTTCCTTGAAGAGGCTTTTTAAGTTGAAACAATATAATTTTGATCTGATTTCTCCATAGGAAGAATGTTACGAGATTATATTCTTTGAGAAGAGAAATTGTATTTGAGTTGGGAGCTTAAGAGAAGTTGTCAGGGCACAAATGTCTGGCACTCTACCTGAAGCAGAAGAGAAAGGGGTCCCCAGTAGAAGGAGGAAGCAGGAAGCTGTTTGGGTGATAAGGGAGGCTCTCTCTGAAGGGGCAGGCCAGAATACAGATATCAGAATAGGGGAAGAAGCCCTAAACTAGCATCTGTGCTTTGTGAATTGCTAGCTGTTTTTAATCATGACTGTCATACAGTCAAGAAGCAAGAAAGTTCTCCGTGTACTAGATGCAAAGTTTCCTGCCAATTTTAGAGGGACCTACCCAAGCATTTTTAAGTAGAACCTGACTGTGGACTGTTTGCCTATGGCCATGCGGGTGAGAGCAATGACTGATCCATAAAGTTACAGGAAACTTTATGTCCTGGAGGTTGAGAAGAAAAAGAGAATGCTTGGCATTATTCTCATGCAAAGGGAACATTTAGAACCTTCTTAGGGTGCAGCCTGGAAACCACAGGCCACTCAGAAAGGGTGCCATGTTCGCATTCCAAAGGCTAGGGGTGTCTATCCTCAGAATCAGGGCCAGCTGGCAGGGGAGCCCAATTTAACATGCTACAGGGAACAAAATATGGAACCAGCAGGCTGTGAATCAGGGCACTTTATACTTTTCACAGTGAGGTTGCCCCTACTTAGTACCTTGGTCTGGGTCCCATTTCAGAGGCTCTGTTAATAAGTTCTCTTCTGGGAGTACAGAAAGGGGCTGGGCCAGGCCGCTGGGTGTGAGCAGAATCACCAGGAGGAGATCCTAGGCTTCTGCTTTGGGTGGGGCAGGATGCCTGAGGAATCCGAGGAAGAGGCAGCTGGTCAGGGAATGTATTGAAACGAGGTCACCCTTGGCCACCCTGCCCTGCCCTATGATTCTTCCTCTCAGTTTTCTGTACTGCCAGAGCTTCCTTATTTTAGGGGAATCCTCTGTTGGCTGTCACTAGCCATTCCATTCTGCCCTGACACTAAATGTAAATTGCCTAGGATGGTCTAACAAAGGGCTGATGCCAATAGCCCACCAAGACCTAGTCAGTCAGAATCCTTAAAGCTCAATGAGCAGCAGAGGCAGACAGGTAAACAGGGAATTCTGAGTTGTTGTGCTGAGTGTGACCCCCAAGAATAAATATAATAGCAGCTGCTGTTTTTAGGGTGCCTTGACTATGCTAAACACTACTTGTGCATTAGCAAATCGAATCCTCAAAAACAATAGTATCCTTACATTACAAATGAGAAGACTTGGGCTCATGGAAGTTAAGTCGCTTGCCAGGTTTCATATAGCTAGTAAGTGGCAGAGGCAGGGTTTAAACCCAGGAATGTGGAACTTTCTCATTAGGCTGGATTTCGAAGTTCTGCACACAATTTTATTTGTGCATTTGACCAAAAGATGCTTCTGACCTTAGAATGTACAAGCCCTGCCCAAGTGTGTGAACTCAGCCATTGGATGCATTCTAAGTGTGGAACTCGGGCAGAGCACCATTGTGCCCATGTGGTGGACACCAAGGAGCCTGTGGGTTGCCAGTGTTTTGTACAGCCTTGTCTGGTCTAAGCCTTTATGGCAAATATGCTTTGTGTAACTCAGGCCCCTCCAGAAAGTTGAGTCAGCCTGAGTTTCCTGCCGGCGCCACGGTGCCCTAAGACTTTGCTGAGCCCTTGCATAGTACCGAGGAGGCACACCTACCATCCACCTGTCCCTATGAGTCATAGAGCTGCCACACTGCTGCCAGGCCTGTCAGCTTTGCGTTTTTCTCCAGTCGCCACCATGCCGAGAGAAAACTTAACCCCGTATGGCAGGGACTCCAGACAGCACTCTTCTCCTTAGAATATGCCATGGGACCACCAGATGGGTAAAAGGTTCAGGTTGCCTTTGATTTTCACCAGGTGGCTAGGGAAAGCGAGGAAGCGGGCAGCCTAGAATCCAAGGCTCAGCCCAGAGAGGAGAGTCAACCCCTATACTAACGTGGTGAGTATACGATTAGCAAGTGCCCTGGCTGCTGGGATGAGGCCAGAGAGATCAAAGAAAGGAGTAATAGTTTCATTAAACATGTCAGACTTTAGGCCGTTCAGTGTATCCCATGAGACATTTGCTGTGGATCTATCATTGAGAGTCTTGCAATGGAAAAGTTTCCACTTTTTCTTGAATAAAGACTTCCTTATCTGCCTTTCTCCCAACAATTGCAAATCTCGATGGTACCTAAAACTGCACGCTTTGTGCAGAGTTCTCCAGAAAATGTCTTTTGCCATTTTCTGTTGCCAGGACTCGCATGCATGTAATAGTTGGGTAAGAGCCAAAATTAAACAAAACCAAACCTTCTATTAAAGTACACAGCAGTAGTATGAAACTGCTCATGTATCATGGCGTCTGGTTGCACATGCTCACATTTGCTGGAGGCCCCCCAAACTACTGCAAATGTTTATGTGCATTTGTTTCCTCCTAGAAAAGGCTACTAGTACTGGGTTTCTGCAGACCAAAGATTTATAAAGGTTCTCAAATGGATAACAAGCTTAGACACAAACTGGCACTCAAGTTGCTGAGGAGCATTTTAGTAACTACCTTCTGGAGGCTGTGGAGACTGGAGAAAATGCATCCTTTTCCCCTAAGATAATGCAAAGCATTGTGAATGTTTTAACAACTTAAAGATGACTGTTATTCACCTTTTAAAAAATTCTCTTCAGGTTCCAGGTGAAAACAGTAACTGAAGATGTCAAGCAAAACAGCAAGCACCAACAACATCACCCAGGCACGGAGAACTGTGCAGCAGTTAAGACTAGAAGCCTCCATTGAAAGAATAAAGGTAAGATGCTTTGATTGGATTAGACTATTTTCTGACAGGTTCTCTCTGCTCTCCAGAGGCTAGGCCACCTTTCAGAGAAGGTAATGCTATTGACTACAGCTTGGTGCCAGGGTTTTCCTAGAGCAAGCTAAGTCTCAGAATCTTAACTTTCATTTCTACCTAGCACAGACCTCATTTCAAAAGCACAGGGGAGCCAAAGTGTCTGAGTTAGCCTCTCTATTTGGACAGAAAACCTGAAACTCATGACAGGATTTCCTGAGGACCTGCCTTCCCCTGAATGAACACGGTCAAGTCCTGTGATCACTTGTGTTTTACATTGGGACAGGGGTTCCAGATAGACTTTATAAACACCCTCATCATCCCTCTGGAATTTATTAAGTGATGAGTGAGTACAGCTGAGGTAGCCTAGCAAAACAAGTCAACAATCGGGGTTTCCTTTTTAGGAGAAGGCAGCTTTTTAAATGTGTGTGGACTTCTGCGCCCAGGCTGAGTACCGCCAGCCTTAGTTGAGATCTAGAAGCAACCGGAAGGCACTCGTTAGGTCACCTGACTTTGAAATTTTTTTCTCCTAAATCCCAAGAGGGACTCGGCTGTGAGTGCCCTGGAATGTTGTGAGTAATGCTGTTTCCTAGAAACTGAAGCAATCACCTGATAAATTCCTCTGGGCCTGGAGATAGTCACCTGTCTTCAAAACATGAGGCTGCCTGTGCTGCATTTGACAGGGGTCAATTGAGGACGCTGATCTGATTATTCTGAAGGGATCTCCCACCCAGACTTCTGAACAAGGCATGGCATTTTCCACTTTTAACTCATGCCAGAATAAGGCACTGCATCATTCCATGCTGGTTTTGTCCCTCTTTTTATTTCCCCAAGCCCAATCTCTAACAGCCAATCTTGAGACTCTACTAGAATTTGGCTCTATGCTTTCAGAGTTTTGGCTCCAAGCCCATAATTCGGTTCTTGAACTCTGTTCTGCATCCTAATTAATTTTTTTAGTAGATAGAAACTAAGATACAACCGTCCTTTGATGCACATATACTTTTCTTCATCTCTCCCCAGCTTTTTATTTTGAGACATTTCAAATCTATAGAAGAGTTGTATAACAAGCACCCATATCCTCTTTACCAGGATTCACCAGTTAGCATTTGCCACATTTGCTTTCTCTCCCTTTTTCTAACTGTACACACACATACTCACAAAATACTTAATTTTTTCTTTAAACCACTTGAAAAGTATTTACAGACATCGTGATTTTTCACCTTAAATACTTCGTCTATTTCTCCCAAGTACAAGAACAGTCCCCTACATAACCACAGTACAATTATAACATTCAGGATCAGCTGAGAATATTATCTAACACGCAGTTCATTTCTGAAGAATCCAGGCCACTCACTTTATGGAATGGCCCTCGCTTTAGATGGAATTGTTTGCTGCCAATTAGATTCCAGTTAAATGTTTTGGCAGAACACCAGCTATCTGGTGGTGTGTCCTCAGTGTTCACACTAGGAGACACATGATGTCAGTTTGATCCCTTGGTGAAGGAATCCCTTATCTGCCTGATTTCACCATATAAAAAGTACCTTTTCCCTTTTTAACAAGTAATCTGGGAGTGATACTTTGAGACTCTGGTTATCTTGTTCTCCAACAGTCTTCCGCCCAATGGGTTAGCATTCAAACGCACTTTTTAAAAATTTATAAATAAAGTTTTTTCTTTGTTTGTTTTGGTTTGTCTACATGACAGGTTTCAAAGGCCTCAGCGGACCTCATGTCCTACTGTGAGGAGCATGCCAGGAATGACCCTTTGCTGATAGGGATACCTACTTCAGAAAACCCTTTCAAGGATAAAAAAACTTGCATCATCTTATAGAGGAGTGAAATGGTTCCTCACGTCTTCTCAACAAAGCAAATTATGAGCAGCTCCTTGAAGAGAATTACCTTCAGCTTATTTGGTAACCACTGCTAATAACTAAAATGCTCTTAACATGGAATAATAGACTCTGAAGTCTTTATTTTCCAACTTGTCCTTTCTCTGAAATACCCTTTACTGATTTAATACAATCCCATTTTCCATTTGGCAACTGTGGTGTCATATTGGGTTACTGATTAAGGAAAGTCAGTCCGGGCCCTTTAAAAAACTCAGTTATATACTTTTAAATATATGAATGATCCAGTTATATCAAGACCTAAATTAACTAAGCCCCTATCTAGATTAAAATGCCAAGAGTAATTTAAGTCCTTAAACCTTTATATCATAATGTGTTCTTAATAGGGTTGTGCCAACCTGTACAGTATACACGGGTGAGGAGTGTTTTGTGTATATATGTATGTCTTTGTATATACACATCTCAAAGCTTATTTCCTTATTAAAATTTCTCTCTCTCCATACCATCAGTTAAATCCACAAGTTATACCTTTATCTTAAGCTGTGTGTAGGTAGAATAAGAACTTCTTTTCATATAGTTATTGTACAAAAAGTAAAGGACATCCTAAAGGTCGTATTCATTGTAATCAAATAATGAAGTCATCTCTTGCTGACCCTCTAGTCTACAATAAACTGTGCCAATTAAAATTTTAAAACTCAGCTAAAAGCCCTTTTATAATATGATATTCATTCACCAGGGGCCTTTTCGGGCTTCAGTGATCCTGAGTCTAAAAAAAGGGGAGGACAGTGGGCAGCTGTGTCCCCAGGGCTCACATTCTCTGGATTAGGGGTTACATCTCTGAAGTTTTCACCCTAATGATGGGGATGAAACAGAGTACACAGGAGGCTGGCCGAGAGTTTTTTTTCCTGTTCTTGGCCGAACTTTATGATTTAGCTCTTTTTCTCTCTGCCTTTCCTATATCTTTCCTCTCCTGCTAGAAAATCTATTCCAGCCCCAAGTGGGTGGAACATGGTGGGAAAGAAACATACAAAATCATAAAGGTATCAAGACACAAGCTCTTTTCAAATATCTTCAGTGTCAGCCTCATCCCTACCTTGTCCCCGAACCATCCAAGAGAGGCTTGGTTTCAGTGGTACAGAATTTGGGCCCAAGGGTCCCAGGAGCTGGACATTGGGTTCCTTGATTTTCCTCTGGACACGAATGTAGCCCTCACATCCTCGGGATTTCCAGTGGGTATCCCAAAAGAAGGAATCTCCTATGACCAGAGAGTATTTTAACTTTATCAAAGAAGAAGACAGGTTATTTTTCTTAAATGCTCATTTAAGGGCCCAAAACATACACTTGGCCTATAATATTTTAATTCATCTTCAGTTCGTTAAAAATAACGACAAATGATGAAGGGTTAAAAATGTATTCTCAAAGAGGATTCAAGCCCAAGAAGGAATTATTTACAGTGGTTTTCCCTAGTTCTGTACAATCTCGCCCTGCAGTGCAAGCCCCTTTTAAAATCTAATGTCTGAGCTTTGGATAGTATGCTAATTTGAGTGAACAAATGCAGTACTATTTTTAAACTGCTCAAATATATTCAGTATTTCTCCAACTCACCTATCTATTCGGCATTGTGAACTGCCCTCATATTTCTAAGACTGGGTGAAAATCATGGCACTGCCCTTAACTTCTTGTCATCTACTGCTTGGTTCAGCAATATGCCCAATTCCCAAGTAAATTATAGTTACCTGTTTAGGAGAGAGAAAGATTTTACCTTTCAGAAGGTGAAATTTGAAATGTATGCTAAAAAGATGACTTTACCTTTAATGATTAACTTAAGGAGATATTCTTTTTTAAAATAAATATATTTTTCTGATAGTTTCAGAACACTAATCTTATTTTCACTCCGATGTTTAACATGTTTCTTTAAATATTTATAATGCATCTTGTTACAAAGTATTTTCATGAAATTATGTTTATTATATTGTTATGTGCACAGTTTTTGGTAGCAAGCATAGTACTAAAACATGTTCTTTTACCTAACAGAAAACAAATATGTTTTGCTATATATTTGTTAATATGCTTAAAGTGGTAAGGAATGGACTTGAGGTCCCAGGAGATTTCATTTTATTTTTGCTGGCCAGGTATCCATTAAGGCCATGAATATAAATGTCGTGTAACTTCCTAACCAGGTGTGGGGCATGTTTAAGAAAAGTGAAATCAAATCCTTTGATGCTGGACCCAAGAGGGGAAAAATTGTAGTTAAATGTTGATTTACTTATAACTAGACATCTGTGTGAGAAAATATATGTATACACATATATGATATGCAGAAGTCACTATTTATCAGGCTTTATTCTACTTACAAAGCCACAGTTTGACTGTTCTGCAGCAGCTGGTTTATGACAATGGTGGACAAATGCCCAGTGCGTGTTAATTTTTCCAGCTACCATCATAATGACATAATCACGTATATATATGCAGCCATTTAAATATTTTCACTGTACTTTATCTTTAATGCTGCTTCTGTTAACAGTGATTTTTTTTTTCATTTTTATATTTTTATTAGTTCATCATAATCCTGTCCATTGAGGCCTCAGGACCATGGCAAGATATGCTATACAAAATTTCATGACTCCAAAGAATTTTACAGAACATTTTTTTTTCTATAAACACTTCATATACCAGGTGGTTCACAGGTTATAGGTAGTAACTACTTTTTTTCTAAAAAGAATCAGGTTTTTACATTTCCTTGCCCTACTGAAATAAAAAGTGCCATACTTATCTTTTAAAGGAAGGACTTGATTTGCTTTCTCTCTGGACTATTTTTGTACTTTACTAATCTAAACTATCAGAAAATACAAGTCTACCAATGATTTCGTAATTTTGAGACATAGGTTAGTTTAGGTAGAGGAGGATGTGCCAAACTTTTTCTTCAGATGCTTTCTTCTCAACCAATTTACAACTAAGATAGTGTCCTCTAAGTGATTACTCTGAATTTTGATTTAAAGTCTATATAGGCCCAAGAAGTGAATTATACTACATATCATTCTTTTCTCAATAAAATATAATACAGTATGTGTTAGGAATTGTGTTGATTTCCTTTATGGTATATCTGTTAATAGGAAAAAGTACATTGAATCAAATAGAAGTATATGTGTATTAAAACAGAGCACTTACCTAAAATTGGGCGGCCTGGATCTTAGCCCTAGATCATTTTCTAGCCAATCCTGTGTCCCTGTGTTGTGACTTTGGACAAGGCACTTGCTCTCTCTGGGCCTTCATTGCACCATCTGTAAAACAAGGGGCTTGAAGTAGATGGTGGCTGAGATCCCTTCCTGCTTTCAGATGTCTCGTTCCAATGGCCTACACCCCTACTGGTCCTGCCAACGTGTTGGTGCTATAAGCTGCTTCAAATATAAAATTGGTTTGTCTGTCATGTATGCTCATTTAATAGCTTATGAAAGGCCTTTTTGTCATACAGCTTTTTATTTCTAGTTTTACGGACTTGATTACTGTAATAATGTCTTGTTTTTAGTCATGTAACTATAAACATATACTCTCTTGATGTCTCAGTAAATTTGCATTTGATAAATATAGTTGATGGGATTTTGTTATTTTATAACATTCTTTGGCTACTCATCTGTCCAGCATCTTATTTACCTAAACACTGTGATCATTGTTTGGAAATCTGTCCTATGGAAAGAATAAAAGCATTTACTTCACAGCTAATATGTTCACAGATTTGAAAGAAGTTTCATTAAAGCACCATTACTCTCTTTACTGGGTCAGTGCCTCCTTGTGTCATCCTACCCGTGTTTTGCTCAAAAAATTAAAAGAAGACAAATTCTCTTCCTCTTTTCATTCATTCATTCAGTCAACATTTTCTGAGCACCTGCTGACAGCCAGGAGTTGAACTCAGGCTCTGATGACACTCGAGAGTAAGACACACACCAGCCCATGAGATGCTTACAATCTAGAGTGATGAAAGTAGGAATGACAGATATGTAAACTAATAATTATGTCACCATGTGAGAAGTACCATAACTCAGGTTTACACAGTGCTGCGAGAGCCCAGAAGAAAGAGGCTTCACGTCAGTAAAGTCTGAGAAGGCTTCCCAGGGAGGTGATATTTGAGCTGGGTCTTAATAGAAGAAACCCTGTAAGCATTAGAGTGAAGTCTTGTGAGGAAATGACAGGAAGAAGAGGAAAGTGAGCTCAAAGCTGGTGTGCAGAGTGTCTCCCATACTACTTGTTTATCCTGCAAGCAACAGGAAGTCAGTGGAGGTTGTTAAGAAGGAGTGACGTAAGGATTACCAATGTGTAGAGGGCTGTTTCCCATCCTGAGACCCAGCAGTGACCATGGAAACAGATAACAAATGGAAAGGTCATTAGACTCAAATGACTCATTTACCAAATGTTTGCCAAAGGTACCCCACTTCCTCCTTGGTCCCTTCCCCCAGGGCTGGGATTCCCACAGGGATGAAGGAAAGACCGCTTCATCCAAAAGACAGCCAATGTGCACCAGGTTACAAACTAGGCAGCTACAGAGATGGGCCCTGCTTCTGAGAACCAGTACTCATACACTACAAAGAGTAGGAGCAAAAGATAGTCACTCAACCCTTTCTAGGAAAAGACTGAAGAATTTAGACACTTTGGTCATGAAAAATAGGCAGCAACTGACAAGCACTTTTACTGGTACAGACCAAATTACCACAAGTTCTTGTAACTTTCAATGGGAGACAATTGTATTGGGGATGGTAGATGGGATTGGGTAGCACTGAGTTTAAAACAAGTTGAGGGGAGGGAAGGTAATGAGGCAGAAAAGGGTGGACTATGTTAAGTAAATATGGCAGACGAAATGTTACACTTACTGATATAAACAAGGAACTTGAACCTGTAGATAACGGTGGGAGCTTAGTGTGGAGACGCATGGCATGTGGCCTTTCAACTCTCCTGGTTATGGGCAGTGATCAGCTTCTCACTGGCAACAGGCTCAATATACATATGGATATTCACTGTAAGCCACCTAATTGGGGGCTAGGTAGACAGTCTTGAGTATTTCTCCCTCCTTCCCCCTGCATGCCTAGGTTTACAAACTTTTGACTTACAGCTCTGTGTGTAGAAATTAGTCCCACCATCATCAGCTCTAAACATCTCTGCACAACCAAGCATGACTGTCACCTTTAGCTTGTTTTCAGAGCATGGCCCCACTTACTATTCTAACCCTTTCATGGTGAGCAGCAAATAACCTTGGCCTTCAGGTGAGCCCTTCTGTTGCTCCAATTACTGTCTCCTTATCTGAGTCATTCACATCTATTAAAGGCTATTTAACTGTAGGCCAACCCTGGGTAAACATGTAGTTGGTCTTAGGAACCCTCACCTCAACGACCAATTTTTTAGGAAACCAATACTTTCTCTGCCCTGGAGGAAAATGCAGTCTAAATAAGTTCATTCTAAAATGCTAATGAATTAATATATTAGTCTGTGGAAGACCGTTGGCCCTACAAAGTAGAACTGGAGAGAGCAATACTCAG